TGTTACAGAGTAGATCTGCTCTGTGGGGTTTTCTTGGCAGTAGGAGCAAATTGCCAGGCCTTTCTTCCATGGCGCTGCTGGTGGGTTCAGATCGCCAACCTTTTGGTCAGTAGACAAGAGCAAATCATTGGCACCACTCTGGATTGTCAAGATAATACAGAAATCTGGGTGTTTGTCTTTGAAATTCCAGGTTTGTAAACCTGTAAAAACTGTGCAGGTCAATGAGAGCAGGTCAGAAAAAGCCACGTCTGCGATCCCTTTCCCCACGGTTAGTCCAGACCTTGGCTATGATGGCGTCCGTGAGTTCAGTGGTTCCCTTGGGTTTGCATTTCTGGTTCCTTTGCAGTTCTGCTGTTTGACTCTGCATGTTAAGTGCTCAGCTACTACTTGGAAGGTTGATGGTTTGAATCCACCCACCCAGAGGCACCTAGGAAGAAAGTCCTGGTGACCTACTTCTAAACAATCACAGCCATTGAAAACCCTGTGGGCTCTTTTAAAGAACTGTCTACATTGGATCAAACTGAGAACACCAATCTGAAAAGTTAGATCGGAAGCTTAGGGGACAGTGAGTGTACGTTAACAGGGGAGGAACAATTGGGAAAAGGAGGGTGAGAATGGTTGCACAGCTGAAGAATGTAATCCATGTCACTGAATTGTACTTGTAGAAATTGTTGCATTGGTATATGTTCTGCTCTGTATGTTTTCAACGACGACAACAACATTGAAATTATTTTTGAAAAACTTCCATGGAGCATAGCTCTACTCTGACACACACGGGGTCGCCATGAGTCGGAATCGACTTGGCAGCAACCAGCTTCGTTTTGCTGGTCGTGTGTTGGTAAATCCTCGTGCACATCTGGCGTGGAGGATGGGAGCGTGTCCTGTGAACCCGTCCTGGGAGTGACACGGCAGGGTTTAACGTGGGGGCGACAGTGAGACCCCCAGGGCGTTTGCTGTGGTTTAAGAAACTCTGGAAGCAAAGAGTGGGCACGGGCGTTCCCTTAACCGGTCACAGGGTGCTGCGACCTGGCGAGCTGTGTCCTACCTGGGCCTTTGTGGGCACTCACAGGGCCCCAGGGTGACTTCGCTCAGTCAGCCATGAAACACCAGAGCAGGGGCCTCACACCCAAGTACCTGGGGGGGTGGAGACCTGGGGGTCCAGGACCAGCCACAGAGCACATGAATGGTGAGGGACAGGCCCCCCTCGTGTGCCGAGGTACAGGAACGTGGGGCTGAGACGAACTGCTGAACTCCTGCCGCGTCTGGAGGGGCAGCTGCTGCCCAGGGCCGGGAGGCTGGGTCCTGTGATTTTTTTGAGAAGGCTGACATTCCGATGCTGTGTGAAAACGCCCGAGTTTTCACTATTTACATAAAGCCCACTCCCATTGTAAGGAAAGGTACGCAAGTGTCTCTTTCTGCATCTGCACTGCGAAGTGTCTCAAGCAAAAACCAAAATCAGTTGCTGTCGAGTTGATTCTAACTCACAGAGACCGCATGAGTGTCAGAGTAGAACTGCGCTCCCTAGGGTTTTAATGCCTGATTTTGGTGGTGGTGGAGGGGGCAGATCACCAGGCCTTTCTGCCGAGACACCTCTGGGTGGACTCGAACCACAATCCTTTCAGTTAACAGCTGAGCACTTTAACTGCTTCGTCACCCTCATCACCTTCCCCTGCGTGTGAGCTGTGATTGCCCAAGAGAACGCAGAGCCATGTTTGTGTTAGATTGAAGATCAGAGATCGAAGCCAGGAGCACCTGAGTCAGAAACCCCGGGGTCTGTGCCTCCTGCTAATACAAGCCGTGTGAACGTGAGCGAATACTGCACCACGCCAACAACAAGGGCTGAGGGGGACCACTGGGTCCAGGTACTTTGGAAATTGTGAATTGATGCACGCTTATTGGTTATGTGATACATGCTAACCAAAAGGTGGGCAGTTCAAATCCACCAGCTGCTCTTTGGAAGCCCTATGGGGCAGTTTTACTCTGTCCTTTAGGGTTGCTATGGGTCAGGATCGACCCGACAGCAACAAGTATTACTAATAGGGAGTGCGTGTTGGTGATTAAGTCCACACTCCACCCCCGTGTACTACCTAATGTATAATTGGTGCATCCCCGTTGCCGTTGATTCTGACTCATAGCAACCCTATAGGACAGAGTGGAACTGCCCCGTAGGGTTTCCAAGGCTGTAAATCTTTACAGAAGCAGACTGCCACATCTTTCTCCCATAGAGAGGCTGGTGGGTTCACACTGCCAACCTTTTGGTTAGCAGCCGAGCGTTTAACCACTGCATCATCGGGGCTCCTATACTTGGTGCATAAACAAAAATAACCACACCCACTGCCGTTGAGTTGATTCCGACTCATAGCGACCCCATATTGGTGCACATGCACGCACACACACACACACACACGCCCATTGCCTTCGAGTCAGTTCTGACTCAGCCACCCTATAGGACAGAGTAGAACTGCCCTATAGGGTTTCCAGGGAGCAGCTGGTGGATTCCAACTGCCAACCTTTTGGTTAGCAGCCTGAACTCTTAACCACTGTGCCACCTGGGCTCCATGTTGGTGCATAGTAGATATATTTTAAGGAGCTCTGGTGGTACAGTGGTCAAGTGCTCGGCTGCTAACCGAAAGTTCAGCGGTTTGGACCCACCAGCCTCTCTGTGGGAGAAAGATGTGGCAGTCTGCTTCCGTAAAGATTTACAGCCTTGGAAACCCTATGGGCAGTTCCACTCTGTCCTGTAGGGTTGTTATGAGTCGGAATCAACTGGACGACAACGGCTAAATATATTTTCATTTATAGAAAGAGTCTCAATGGAATTTTAAAGCAATACTGATGTTGTGAATAATTGGCAGGAGACACCATGTGTTATGAAAAATCTTGTTAGGTGTCCTTCCTTGCAACTCCCTCCCTCCGTAACCCACCTTCCTTCCTTCCTTCCTTCCTTCCTTCCTTCCTCCCTCCCTCCCCGCCTCCCTCCCATCCTCCCTCCCATCCTCTCTCCCTCCCCGTTCCTCTGTTCCTCCCCCCCATCCCTTCCTTCTCTCTTTCTTTCCTTCCCCCCCATTTCCTCCTTACTCCCTTCCTTCCAACTGGGAAATATTTCCCAGGCAGAGAAACAAAAGCAGAGAAGACACTGTAGCAAACGTACGTGTACCTGCCACCTGACGTGACCCCAGTTTGACATTTTGTCCTATTTGCTTGAACTGTTTGAAGAAAACAAAACGTTACAAGCGGTGTGGAAAGCCTTTAAGCCCCGTCCTCCCTCCCAAGCGCCAGCCCTTCTCCTGAGCTCGGTGTTCGTCTTTCCTACTGAGTGTTTCTGTGTTGTCCATCTGTGCCTGTGAGCATGTCCATCCACCATCTATAGAATGTGCTACATCTTTGCAAGCTTTACTATGGTATTCTAGTTCATATCCTTCTGCAGATTGCTTTCCCTCCGCTCAGTATTATGTGTTTGAGCTCGTCCCTACGTAGCTCTGGTTTGTTCATTCTTACAGCTCCGGGGTCAATGAGAAGAAGAGACTTCAACTTAATCAAGCAGTCCCTGAACGATTGGGGTGACCATATGTCCCGAGCAGTCCCTGAACGATTGGGGTGACCATATGTCCCGGTTTGCCCAGGACAGCCCTGTTTTTTGCAGGGAACAATCTAGTACATCCTTGCGCTTGTGAGCTTGGATTTCTTTATGGAGCTGATGTAGATGTGGGATTGCGGGTTCGGTATGGCACTCCCTCCCCCAGGTCCCTGGCGACCCCAGTGCAAGCCAGCTTTTAATCCAGCCTTTCTGGAACCCCTTCCCCACAGAAGTGGGAGACCACAGGTATGGTCACCAAGCAGTGGGTGGCTTACTCGCAGAATTATGCCTGTGTTTCTGTCGATGCTTGCTACCCTCCGTGGTTTGAGGTGGCCGACATGAACGTGACCTGCATGCTTTCGGGAGAACTTTATTCTGTTTGACCATGTGAGAGCTGAACACCCAGCTGCTGCCACCTCTTGGGGACCCCCAAGTATCCCAGCTTCAGCCTGCTCTCAACTTTGGGGTCTATTCCACTTCTGGTCCTGGAGACTGTGATCTCATTTTTGAGTCTGGCTGCGGCTTTTCTGTTCTATTTTTACACACTCCCTATCACGGCTCTGTATTTGAAGCAGAGGGGGTTATTATAGCACGAAGTCACTGCCACCCCAACCCGGAGCCTGCGTTTCCTTTTTTTCTTGCCTCAAAGAAAAACAGAAGGTAGCCTTTTTTCTTGCCTTAGAAAGTTTCAAACTGCCCCAGCAGCAGTTTGGTTAAGCCTTGTAAGCTGTGGTCACCGCTGCAGTGAGGTAGGGTTCTTGCACATGTCAAGCTGGGGATTCACAGCTTGCAAGGGTCTTTTCCACTTGGGTCCTGGGTGCTGCCTGCCTCTGGCTCAGGCCTCTGTGGGTGACAGGAGGCGTTCAATCCTTGCCTTCTCTGTTGTTGTGAGCTGCCGATGAGTCGGCCCCTAACTCACGGAGATCCCATGAACTGCGGAACGAAATGCTACCCAGCCCTGCACCATCTCCACGATGGGTTGTGTGTTGGACCATTGGGACCTGTAGTGTTTTCATTGCTGGTAGATTTCCAGGCTTTTCTTCCTAGTCTGTCTTTGTCTAGAAGCTCTGCTGAAACCTGTTCAGCATCACGGCAACGTGCAAGCCTCCACTGACAGGCGGGTGGTGGCTGCGCTTGAGAGGCGCGTTGGGTGGGAATCAAACCTGGGCCTCCTGCATGGAAGGCGAGAATTCTGCCGCTGGACCACCACTGCCCTCTTGAGAGGACTTCGCGTTGTACGCACACAGGTGGCGCCTGGCCTGCAGTCACCCCAACAAACACGAGACGGTGACACCGAGCCCGAAGACGTTCAGAGGCCTTCCCCCTGCCCCGGGGATTTCCCCCTTTGACATCCACATCTCCTCCTTGTCTCTTTCCTTCTTCCGCCCCCTCCAGAGACGGTGGCCCCCGAGGTCCGGCAGCCATGCCGCGCAGTCCCACGTCCAGTGAGGACGAGATGGCCCAGAGCTTCTCTGACTACTCCGTGGGCTCAGAGTCCGACAGCTCCAAAGAGGAGACCATCTGCGACACCATCCGGGCCGCGGCAGAGAAGCCAGGTGGCGCCAGGACGGAGGAGAACCAGGGCAACACGCTGGTGCTGAGGATCATCATCCAGGACCTGCAGCAGACGGTGAGCTGCTCCCTTACCCTCTGCCCGTCCTTCAGTTCTGGTCAACATCCAGCAGGGTCTGAAGGCAAGGACCCGCTGGCTGCCACCCTGGGCCCGCCGGCCACCCGCCCAGTCCTGCTGGCTCTGCGCGTGTTGTGCCCATCCCTGAGTATGTCCTTGAGGTCACACAGCCGCGTGGGAACAGCTAACCCCCTGCAACTCTGCCACAGGTTATAAATTACTGACCAGGGACTGCGTTAACTGCGTGAAAGCTTTGCATGCATTATTCCATTTAATTCTTGTAACAGCCCTGTGAGATAGCGCAGATTTAAAATGGGGCAGTGGTAATTTGATGATAATTTTCTGTCTCTTTCCCCCCACCCCCTACACTTTTAAACACAAATTGATTATGGTGACATCTATATAACACAATTTGCCACTTCACCATCTTTACGAGTTCAGTTCAGGGACGTTAATTGCATTCACCGTGTTGTGCAGCCGTCACCACCATCCGTTTCCAAGTGTTGTCATCACCCTTGACAGAAGCTCAGCGCCCCTTCAGCAGTACCCCCCGTTTCTCCCTTCCTCTACGCCCCCTGGAGCCCTGGTGGCACAGTGGTTAAGAGCTCGGCTGCTAACCAAAACGTGAGCAGTTCAAATCCACCCGCCGCTCCTTGGAAACACTATGGGGCAGTTGTACCCTTTCCTACAGGGTCGCTATGAGTCAGAATTGAATTGACGGCAGTGGGTTTGGGTTCGGTTTGTACACACCCCCTGCTAGCCGCTAGTAAGCTTGGGTCTGTGTGTGTTTGCCTGTTTCATGTAAGTGGGTTCCTACAATATTTGTCCTTTTTCATGTGGGGTCTTTCAGTCAGCATCACGTGTTCAGGATCCATCCACGCGGTGGCTTGTCAGAACCTCGTTTCTGCTTGTGGCTGAGTAATGCTCTGCGGTCCGGATGGACGTTGCGCATCTGTCATTTGTTGACAGACATTTGGGTTGTTCTGCCCTTGGCCCCCATGAGTCTTGCTTCAGTCAGCACTGGTGTCTGAGTCTCTGTTTGCGTCCCTGCTTTGAGTTCTAGGACTTTATACCTGGGACTGGAATTGCTGGGTCATACGGTGTTTAACTTTTCGAGGAACTGCCAGACTTTTCCACAGCGGCTACGCCAAATTACAGTCCCACCAGCAATGGATACAGAGGCACAGTAATGATTTGAGAGTGACATTTGGTGGTAGGAGTGAGGGGGGGTGTTTTCTGTCTTTACATCGTGATGATATGGAAATTCTTTTGGAAAGCTTCTTTTAAATGCATCAGTGTGCCCCATGGGCTATTCCAAGAGGCCTCTGAAGTTAGGGTCAACTGTTTAGAATTCCCACCAGACCCCGGGTCATCTTGGTCCTGAGGTGCTCCTGGTTCTGAAGAGGCTGTGGAGCAGCTTAGGGAGGTGGGCGGGTTATCACGGATCCCTGAAGAACTCTGGCCTGGGAGAATTAAGCTCTTGGCTGCTAACCAAAATGTCGGCCGTTTGAACCCACCAGCCACTCTGCAGGAGAAAGATGTGACAGTCTGCTTCTGTAAAGATTACAGCCTTGGAAACCCCATGGGGCAGTTCTACTCTGTCCTAATGGGTCGTTACGAGTCGGAATCAACAGCAACGGGTTTGGTTAGGTTTAGGAGACCCATGGGTGTCTGAGCCAGCAGCCCCCGCAGACGTGTTTTAATTCTCTTGCATTCTGGAATCATCTTAATGCTAATGATGATGCTTTGTATTTGTGTCTCTAATGCTTTACAGCGTACGTTCACAGATACCCTCTAAGTTGGCTGTTGTAATGGATCCAGAGGCCGACTTGTCATGTCTACTTGACAGATACGGGAACGGGAGCTTAGCGGGCATGAGTGAGCCTTCTGCGGGCTTTCGGGTTAGTAAGTGGACATGGGTGCTCTGGTGGCGCAGTGGTTAAGAGCTCAGCTGCTAACAAAAAGGTCGGCCATTTGTATCCATCAGCTGCTCCTTGGAAACCCTATGGGGCATTTCTACCCTGTCCTATAGGGTCACTATGAGTTGGAATCGATTCAACTGCAACAGGCTTGGTTTTTTGGTTTTTTAGGTGGCCATTGATCGTGGTCATCTGATTTTGGGCTTCTTGCTCTCCCCTTCTGTCCTTTTCTCCTTCCCTCCCTTCCTGTTTGGAAACACTTAACAGAAAGAGCAAGGCCTGGGGCAGATCCCAGCACCACCACCTTTTAGCTGTGTGACCTTGAACAAGTTACTTACCCTCTCTATTACTCATTTATAAAGTGAGAACAATGGAGCCCTACCTCCCTGTGTCATTGGCAGGACTCAAGGACACCCGACCTTAGAAGTGAGCCTGACTACTTTATTTAGGGTCTTTATTATACAAGAAGATGGAAGGAATACACAGAGTCACTGTACCAAAAAGAATTGGTCGACATGCAACCATTTCAGGAGGTGACATGATCAGGAACCGATGGTACTGAAGGAAGAAGTCCAAGCTGCAGATGGTGCCCGGCTATCACCACTCACTGCTCTGACCGGGATCACAACAGAGCGTCCTGGACTGAGCTGGAGAAGGATGTAGAAGATAATTCTAACACACACAAAAAAGACCAGATTTACTGGCCTGACAGAGACTGGAGAA